ATGTCAATAGGCTTGGAATGAATTTTTCTGTATGAAACTGTGTGTTTTGACAATGAAGAGGAGATCTTTTTTAAACATTGGAACCTAATTTAATTTTATCTCTTAGAGAGTTTATAATGAGTATAAGATTTTATAAGTGTAATAATTCATCTGTAAACCTAGAAATGTACAGCCAATTTTGAAAGAGATGTACCCTAGCTCAGAAAAATGTTATTGAATAGGTTAATGCTGTTGTAATGAAATGCTTCTTCTAATTAAAAAAAAAAAAAAGAAACTAACCTCTCTTAGATTTCATGAAATCAGAAACCAGCCCAGGCTCTAGCTGGAATGTACAGGAAAGTATGTGTCAGCTCAGTCGTGTCCTGCCAGTCACATTGGACCAATATGCCATGTCCCCTTGAAAGTGCCAGAGAATGTGAGAACTTTGTGAGGAGACAGCAAAGCAGAAAAGTACTGAGTGACATCTTAGTGTTCCCCAGATGTCCTGGAGAAGTGACAGGAAATACTCCAGGAGGGGATTTCAAAGAGTATTAGAAGCACAATACAGTGAAGGAGATGTATTTGAAACACACAAAGGACCAGGACACTGATTCAATATCAGGAGTTACTGTGTTCTCTTAGTGCACAAGGTCAGATGATCTCAAGGGATCTAAAAGTAGCAGATGGAAGGGAGGTAATTACAGAGAGTGTATGAGTTAGAGGATAAAGAATAGTTGAATTTCTCTTGACATAAGATCCAGAACTACCCCTACATTTTCCAGGATGTGAACAAAGAAATGGCTTTCTAGAAAATGGGACTGTTAGCCAGGCGTGGTGGCCCATGCCTGTAGTCCCAGCACTTGGTAGGCAGAGGCAGGCGGATTTCTGTGAATTCAAGGCCAGTCTGGTCTACATAGTGAGCTCCAGGCCAGCTGGGGCTACAGAGAAACCCTGTTTCAAAAAGACCAAAAAGAAAGAAATTTATTTCAGGTACACAAGTGTTTTGCCTGCATGTATGTAAGTACACCTGTGTTGTGCTAGTAGTGGGTGTTGGATCCCCTGGAACTGGAATTCAATAGTTTGACATCTTTTTCCTAGCTTTTTTTTTTTTTTAACCCCAGCTGCTGGCCTGGAACTCGATGTGTAGACCAGGCTGGCCTCGAACTCACAAAGATCCACTTGCCTCTGCCTCCCAAGTGTTGGGATTAAAGGGGTGCGCCACCACGCCCGGCTCCTGAGCATCTTTTAAAAGGGTTATTACTGTTATTGTGGGTGTGCTGCTGGAGATGGTGGGCCTTACATACATGGTAGGCAGGTACTCTACCTATCAGCTACACCATCAACCCTGTTGGAGTATGTTGCCCTATGGTGTGTTGAGTTGCCCATTTAGAATATGCCTATGGAGCCGGGCGTGGTGGCACATGCCTTTAATCCTAGCACTCGGGAGGCAGAGGCAGGTGGATCTCTGTGAGTTCAAGGCCAGCCTGGTCTACATAGTGAGTTCCAGGACAGCTGGGGCTACAGGGAGACCCTGTCTCAAAAAGACCAAAAAAAAAAAAAAGAATATGCCTATGCTTGTTCCTTGTGCCAGGTGTTCCTCAAAAGAGACTTCTCTACTCTTAAGGAACAGCTTCTCATTTTGTTTCTCAGATTGGCACTAAGACCCAAGTGCAGCCTTGCTGCTTTCTAAAAATCTCGTGTCATTTTATGTTAAATTTATTTATTTATTTATTTATTATTTGTCTTTTTTTTGAGATAGGGTCTCCCTGTAGCCTCAGCTGTCCTGGAACTCACTATGTAGACCAGGCTGGCCTTGAACTCACAGAGATCCGCCTGCCTCTGCCTCCCAAGTGCTGGGATTAAAGGCGTGCGCCACCACGCCCTGCAATTTTATTTATTTTTATTTTATATATATGAGTGTATATACATGTATATAAGTGTACTCATGGGCATGCAATGACAATGGAGGTCAGAAAGGGCATCCACTGAATTCCCTGGAACTGAAGTTAGGGATGATTGTTAGCCACTATATGGGTGCTGGGAATTGAACCAGGTCCTCTGCAAGAGCAGCCAGTGCTCTCAACCACTGAGCCATCTCTGTGGTCCCTCTTGTGCCGTTTTAATTAATGTCTTCATAATATTTTTTTCTGGTACCAGAGATTAAACCTAGGGGTTGCCACATGCAAAACAAACAGTCTACCACTAAGCTATAGTCTCTGCCCCTCATAATAAATATGCAAATATGCATATGATATGAAACATGTATATCCCTCCTTAGAGTAAAATTCCTTAAGGGCAGAGACCTTGTCTTCTTTGTGTCCCTGTAACATTTTTTCAAAGTTTTTATTTATTTATTTATTTATTTATTTATTTATTTAATATGTCTGAGTGTTTTGCCTGTATGTATGTAAGTGCATCATGTGCATCATGTGTATGCAGTGTCTGCAGAGCCCAGGAGAAGGTCATCAGATCCCTTGGAACTGGAGTTAAGGATGATTGTTAGCTGCCATGTGGGTACTGGGAATTGACCCTGGGTCTTCTGTAAGAGCAGGCAGTGCTCTGAACTGCTGAGCCATCTCTCCAGTCCTCCCCTCCTCCTTTCCCCCCCTTTTTAAAAACAGGGTCTACTGTGTAGCCCTGGCTGACTTGGAACTTGCCTTGTAGAGCAATACTTGGAAGACAGAGTGTTGCACTAAATTTTCCCCTTCCCACTCTCTGACCCGCCCTCACTCTCTCAGGGCCTCTTGGTCCTGACTCCAGTTGACAAACCAGCATAACACATGGTTTTTCTGACAGGGAGGGAGCTACTTAAGAGACCACTTTTCATAACTTACTCATCATTCAAGCCCTGCCCACAGTCTCCATTAGCTTTTGTGAAGTCTCACCCCAAGGTCTGAACGCCCTGCAGGGCACCTCTGCTGATTGCAGCCAGGGCCGTACCCTTCCTGATCCCAGCCCCAGACCAGTGCACCCTTGGCTCTCACCCTTCTTCCCAGAGTGCCGTGAGCTCACCCTCAAGCTTTTCAGAGGAATAAGTGGTTTCTGGGCTACACAGAGGCAGCCGGATCTCTGTGAGAACAAGGCCAGCCTGCTCTACATAGTGAGTTCCCATCTAGCTGGGACTACAGGATCAAAAAGTGAATAGATTGGGAAAGGAGTTATTTTAACACAGCATTTCCTTTATTGCTTCCAATTCTTGCCTTTCTCTGCAGGGAAACCGGGATGAGAACCAGAGTGTCAACCACCAGATGGCTCAGGAAGATGCTCAGCGTCTCTATCAAGCTGGTGAAGGCAGACTAGGGACAGATGAATCCTGCTTTAACATGGTTCTTGCCACAAGGAGTTTTCCTCAGCTGAAAGCCATGATGGAGGCCTATTCCAGGGTAGGAGCTCTTCTGAAGAGTGACTGTCGATTTTTTTTTTTTTTTTTTTTTTGGCCTTTTTGAGATCGGGTCTCCCTGTAGTCCCAGCTGACCTGGAACTCGCTATGTAGACCAGGCTGGGCTTGAACTCCCAGAGATCCACCTGCCTCAGCCTCCGAGGGCTGGGACTGAAGGTGTGAGCCACCACACCCAGCTAACACTGTCAATTTTTAAGTATGAAGATACTGACCTCTATAATTTTTGTTTGCAGATGGCTAATCGAGATTTGTTAAGCAGTGTGAGCCGAGAGTTTTCCGGATATGTTGAAAGTGGTTTGAAGGCCATCTGTAAGATACTTGCTTTTATGCTTTGCTCTTTTTGTTACGTGTGTGTGTGTTTTCCCTGTTATGTGTAGAAGCACACCCTTGTCATGCAATGCCAAGGTCAGAAGAGGGCATCAAACTTACCTGGAACTGCAGTTACAGATGGTCGTTAGCTGACATGTGGGTGCTGGGAACTGAACGTTGGTCCTCTGCATTAGCAGCCAGTGCTCTTAACTGCTGAGCCAACTCTCCAGTCCACTTTTGTGTTTTGCTGTTTTGTTTTAAATGAGTAGGGGACTTAATAATAGTCTTCACTGAGTGATTACAATTAATATAGTCTCCCTAGAATCGGCTTAAGCAGAAATAGAGTTAATCTCATATTTTTATATATAAAATACTAGGAATGGTTGGTGGTGAGATCAAATGGGGTTTAGGAGGTTTGGGGGGGTGTTTAGATTATTTGTGTGTTTTTGTTGAGAACTGGGAGAAAATCCAGTAGACTGGAGTACTTCCTTTAAGATGAATGGGAAAGCCACAAAACATCTTTCTTTCCTCTAGGATAATTTATTAGAGTTTAAAAGGAAAAGCCCAGCTGGGCGTGGTGGTGCACGTCTTTAGGCCCAGCACTCAGGAGACAGAGGCAAGTGGATCTCTGTGAGTTCAAGGCCAGCCTGGTCTACATAATGAGTTCCAGGACAGCTGGGGCTACAGGGAGACCCTGTCTCAAAAAGACTTTTTTTGGGGGGGGCTCTCCCTGTAGCCCCAGCTTGCCTAGATTCGCTATGGAGACCGGGCTGGCCTCAAACTCACAGAGATCCCCCTGTCTCTGCCTCCCAGAGTGCTGGGATTAAAGGCCTGCGCCACCACTCCCCCCATCAAAAAGACCTTAAAAAAAAAAAAAAAAAAAAGGAAAACCCCAGGCCTGTGAAGCTGCCAGGAAGGGAGGAGGGAAATGGGAACAAAAGCCATACTGCTTGAGATACGGCAGCAGGGAGGTCAGCCACCTGTGGCACGCAGTGACACAGCAGAGAGGGTACCTTTAGAACAAGAGTAAGAACACTCAAAGTGTTAGTTAGGGAGCTTAAAAGCAGACTTAGTCTCCAGCCAGCATCCAAAAGGAAAAGACAGGAGAAAAGGAAAAAATAGTTCTTTCTGAGGCCTGACCCAGAGAGGTGGGCAAACCCAGGTCAACCTCATGGTGGCTTGGCTCCTAGGGACTTTTTTTTAGTGACACATGGTCTATGTAGCCCTGGCTACCCTGGAATTTACAGGTATCTGACTCACAAGTACTGAGATTAAAGGTGTGCATCAACATGCCTGGCACACTAAAACCATTGGAGTCCTCAGAACACACCATTCAAGTACTCAGCCCAGTGAGACTCGTCTCCTTTGAAATTAATGTGTTTCTAGTCATCTAACACCCAAGTGTGTAATGAAGTGGAAAATTTGTCCCTGTGGATACTGCAGGATGAAAAAGAGTAACATGTTGATATTAGCAATGGAATGTCTGAAAACTGTTAACATTAGAACTAATGTAGTAATGTACATTTAGGACCTCTGCCCTCTGTGGGAATGCAGTTTGCTACATGAACTTTCCAGGGACTTGGATTCCTGAGTGTCATTTTCAAATCTTGGTTCAAATCTGTTTTCTCTTAGTGTATAGTCATTGTTTTCTCTCAACCAAATGATACTTAGGTTTTGTATATATTTGTGGTACTGGAAATTGAAGCTAAGGTCTTATGCATGCTAGACAAGTGCTCTACCACTGAACTATCCCCCCATCCCCAAAATTATATTCTTGATTATTAATTTTTAAAATTTAATTTCATTTAGTGTGTGTGGGGGGGTATATGTGTAGACACCAGCATGTGTGTGAAGGCCAGAGGACACCTTCGTGGAGTCAGTTCTCACCTTCTACCTTTACTTGAGTTTCAGCGTTCGAACTCAGGTTTTCAGGCTTTCTCAACAAGTGCTTTTACCTGCCAAGCCATCTAGCCGTCTCCTAAATGATACTCTTTTTAAAAAGTATTTCATTTTTATTTTTTATGTATATGAGTGTATTGCATACAATACATGTATGTAAGTGCCCTGATGTCATGCAATGCCCAAGGAGTCAGAAGAAGGCATCAGGTCCCCTGAAACTGGAGTTACACACAGTTGTTAGCTGCCATGAGGGTGCCTGGAATTGAACCCAGGTTCTCTGCAAGAGCAGGCAGTGTTCTTAACTGATAAGCCATCTCTCCAGCCCCTAAAATGATATACTTGATATACAGAATTTGGATTTTTATCACTTCTTTTAGTAAGATTACTAAATCTGGGGGACACTACAGATTTTCACACTGTTGGGGAGAAAATGTAAAGAATCAAAGTCAGTGCATCTATAAAGAGAAAATAGATTTATTGGCTAGAGGAAACTGTCTAGAATTGAAGGTTGCCTGTGTGATGCACCTACAAAGACAGATGCTAAAAAAAAAAACAGGGAGGTGGGAGATCAACAACACACCTCAGATTTTTTGTAGAAAATAATCAAAGGTGGGCTCAAAGTGCAGCCAGAGAGGTTGCTGGTTTGTCAGGCCAGGATTCCAGTCTGAAGCGTCTCTATCTTGCAGTGCAGTGTGCCCTAAACCGCCCTGCCTTCTTCGCTGAGCGACTCTATTACTCCATGAAAGGCGCTGGCACAGATGACTCCACCCTGGTCAGGATTGTGGTCACTCGAAGTGAGGTGAGACAAGGCAACACTTTCTATTCTTGTCTGATCTTACTCAATTTTGAATGGTGTTTTTTTGTTTTGTTTTTTTTTTTTTTTGGTTTTTTTGAGACAGGGTCTCCCTGTAGCCCCAGCTGACCTGGAACTCGCTATGTAGAACAGGCTGGCCTCGAACTCAGTTCCGCCTGCCTCTGCCTCCCGAGTGCTGGGATTAAAGATGCGCACCACCACGCCCGGCCAATTTCTTAAATCTTGGATCTGAAACCCTCAGAAATATGTTAAGAGCACCCTCTGTCACTAATAGCTAGGACTATAGTCATGTATCATTGTGCCTGGATTACTTATTGATTGATTGATTGTTGTTTTTTTTAACATTTTATTTATTATTTTTATTCTATGTGTATGAGTGCAATGCCCATGGAAGTCAGAAGAGGGTGACATCAGATCCCCTGGAACTGGAGTTAAAGATGATTGTTAGCTGCCATGTGGGTCCTGAGAATCAAGCCCAGGTCTTCTGCAAGAGCAGCCGGTGCTCTTAACTGCTGAGCCATCTCTCCAGCCCCTGATTAACTGGTTTTTGTAGAGCCAGGAATCAAAACCCAGGGCCCTGTGCTTGTTAGGCAAGTGTTCTGCCATTGAGCTAGGCCCCAATCCCAGGCTTATTTTTATTTTCATTTGGTTATATTAAAAAACAAATCCTGCCGGGTGTGGTGGCGAACGCCTTTAATCCCAGCACTGGGGAGGCAGAGGCAGGTGGATCTCTGTGAGTTCAAGGTCAGTCTGGTCTATACTTGGTGAGTTCTAGGACAGCTGGGGTGCTACAGGGAGACCCTGTCTCAAAAAGACCAAAAAGAAAAAAAAAAAAAAAAAACAGAAATCCTGATCTGGGCATGGTGGCTGAGGCAGGGGGATCTCTGTGAGTTTAAGGCCACCTGGGGCTACAGGGAGACCGTGGCTCAAAAAAAAAGTAATTGAAAGCTGAAATTATAGAAAGATAGATTTAAAAAAAAATTATTTTATGTGTATTGCCTGCATGTGAGTGTACCCATGTCGTGCAGTGTGGCAGAGGTCAGAAGATGGCTTCAGATTCCCTTGAAACTGGAGTTAAGGATGGTTCCTAGCTGCCATGTGGATGCTGGGAATCAAACCCAGGTCCTCTGCAAGAGCAGTCAGTGCTCTTAACCTCTGAGCCATCTCTCCAGCCCCAGAAAGATAGACTTTAAAAACGTATTTTATTATTTTTATTTTATATGAATGAGTGTATTGCCTGCATATGTGTAAGTGCACCCATGTAAGTCACCTGTGTCGTGCAATGCCTGTGAGGTCAGAACAGGGTGTGAGATTCCCCTGGAACTGGAGTTAGGGATGGTTGTTACTGCCATGTGGGTGCTGCAAATCCTGGGTCCTCTGCAAGAACAGCCATTGCTGAGCCATCTCTTCAGCACTGATTTTTTCTTTTTTTTTTTTTAAGATAAGGTCTCAACCCTACAGCCCTGGCTGCCCTGGCACTCATTATGTAGACTGGGCTGTCTTTGAACTCAGAGACCCGCCTGTCTCTGCCTCCCCCCCCCCATATTAGGATTAAAGGTGTCGATTGCCATGCCCACCTTGGATCTTTTTTTTTCGAAAGGCAATTAATTTGGCATTTTAAACCTTTTCTGTGTGTTTATCTTACACTTACATTCTCTACAGCTCTACTCTTAAATTGTGTTAAAATATACAGTTTACCTTTTTTTTTTTTTTTTTTAGTGTCTTTTTTTTTTCTGTCTTTTCGAGGCAGGGTCTCTTTGTAGCCCCAGCTGTCCTGGAACTCATTATGTAGACCAAGCTGGCCTCAGACTCACAAAGATCCACCTGCCTCTGCCTCCCAAATGCTGGGATTAAAGGCATGTGCCACCACACTGGGCTACAGTTTACCATTTTAACCTTTTTTTTTAAAGGTTGTTGTTGTTGTTTTTAATGTGTATGAGAGTGTTTTGCCTGCATGTATGTGAGTGCACCCGTGTCCTGCAATGCCTTGGAGGTCAGAAGAGGGCTTCAGATTCCCCTGGAACTGGAGTTAAGGACGGTTCATAGCTGCCATGTGGGTGCTGGGAATCAAACCTGGGTCCTCTGCAAGAGCAGTCAGTGTTCTTGACTGCTGAACCATCTCTCCAGCCCCAATTTTAACCATTTTTATGTGTGCAATTCTGTGGCAGTAAATAGTCACATTTTTGTACAGTGTCACCATATTCCATTACATTTTTCTTCCTGCAAACCTGAGAATTCATACTCACCAATCCATAACTCCACATCCTCCTCTTAACAGTCAGCAGCTGCTCGGATTGTCAGAAACGGGCTGAAGAGCTGCCCATTGTTATCTCACTGCTTCTGCTCATTCATTTATCTGTGCACACTTGGTTTGCTTTCACCCTCTGTGTTTCGTGAATTATGTTATGAACGTGGCGTACAGACATTTGTTCAAGTCCCTGCTACTTCTTTCAGGTATTTAACAAAATAGTTTTGGAAGACAGAATTTTGTGGATCATTTTTTTAAAATTGCCATACTGTTTTCCACATCAGCTACACCTTTTTACATTCCTGATAGCAACATCCAAGTGTTCCCATTTCTCGGCATCCTTGACAACACTTACTATGTTCTGAGTTTGTGATAAAAGCCATCCCATTATCAAGGGGCTGGAGAGATGGCTCAGTGGTTAAGAACACTGTTCTTACAGAAGACCTGGGTTCAAATCCCAGCACCCACATGGCATCTAACAACTGTCCGTAACTCCAGTTCCAGGGGATCCAACAGCCTCTTCTCTTCTTGGTGGGCATTGCACAACACGGGTGCACTTACCTACATGCAGGCAATACATGCATACATATAAAATAAAAAATAAATTAAATAGCTAGGAAAAAAAAATCCCATTATCAAATAGCTATGTGTTGAAATTACTAGTATTTGTTGCCGGGCATGGTGGCGCACACCTTTAATCCCAGCACTCAGGAGGCAGAGGCAGGCGGATCTCTATGAGTTCAAGGCCAGCCTGGTCTACATAGTGAGTTCCAGGACAGCTGGGGCTACAGGGAGACCCTGTCTCAAAAAGACCAAAAAAAAAAAAGTTACTAGTATTTGTGGAATAATAACAGAAATTAGTATCACATCTATCTAGTATTTTCCAGGGTAGGAAATCAGATCTTCGGCAGGAATTTTGAGACTGGCATGAATGATGATAATTATGGGCTGCCAGTCACTTGGGAGTTCTCTTTCCTCCTGTTTTGATTATTAAGGTATAATTAAATAATTGTAATAAATGAATTTTCTTTTAACAGATCTTTTCCCCTAACCTGTCATTTTTTTGTAGATTGACCTTGTACAAATAAAGCAGATGTTCACACAGATGTATCAGAAGACACTGAGCACAATGATTGCAAGTGACACAAGCGGAGATTACAGAAAGCTGCTTCTGGCCATTGTGGGCCAGTGAGAGGGAGGGTTACATTGTATTTAATGAATGAAGCTACTCAAAGCAATGGGACCTGCATGCAGCAATATCAAACATCAACTAACCAGAGCAGCTTTCCACTCAGGACTGGGGTCAGGGTAATGTGCTGGTTTGCACATGTTGTTGTTGCCTTAATTCTGATACTAGTTTTTCTTTGGTGTCCAGTGTAAAAGCCACATAAATGATGTAATAATTTTGCAATATTTGTAAAGCTTCATTCTGCCTTTATTTTAATCCAGATTTCAAGTTGAATAAAAATCATAGTAATCTCTAATTCTGTGTAATATTAAAAATTTTTATAATGTATGAGTGTATTGCCTGCATGCATGTTAAGTGCACCTGTATCATGCAATGCCCACGGAGGACAGAAGAGGGTGATAGATCCTCTGGAACTGGAGTTACAGAGGGTTGTTAGCCACCCATGTGGGTGCTGGGATTTGAATCTGAGTCCTATGCAAGAGCAATCAGTCCTCTTAACCACTGAGCCATCTCTCCAGCCCCTTAAAAAAATTTTTTTAAGGCTGCTCATCACCTGTATTTAGTTCAAAAAATGAGAGATTGATATTTTAAAAAAGTGATGCTATGGGGGGCTAGAGAGATGGCTCAGCAGTTCAAAGCACTGGCTGCTCTTGCAGAGGACCCAATACAGTTCCCAGCACCCACATGGCAGCTAACAACAGTAACTCCAACCAGAGTTACAGAGGGATCTGATGCTCTCTTCTGGCCTCTATGGGTATTGCACACACATAATACACTTACAGATCTGCAGGCAAAATACCCAAGCACATAAAATAAAAAGTAGAACCCCACCAGCACCCACATGGCAGCTAACAACTGTCCATAACTCTAGTTCCAGGGGAGCCGATGGCCTCTTCTGTCCTTGCGGGCATTGCATGACGGGGGTGCACTTACCTACATACAGGCAATACACTCATACACATAAAATAAAAATAATAAAATATTTTTTTAAGTAAATTTTTGGGCCGGTCGTGGTGGTGCAAGCCTTTAATCCCAGCACTTGGGAGGTAGAGGCAGGTGGATTCGAGTTCAAGGCCAGCCTGGTTTACATAGTTCCAGGACAGCTGGGGCTACGGGGAGACCTTGTCTCAAAAAGACCGGAAAAAAAAAAAAGTAAATTTTTAAAAAAGTAATGCAGCCAGGCATGGTGGTGCATGCCTTTAATCCCAGCACTCAAAAGGCAGGGGAATCTCTGAGATTGAAGCCAGCCTGGTCTATATGGTGAGTTCCAGGCCAGGTATGGCTACAGGGAGACCCTGTCTCAAAAAGACAAAAAAAAAAAACAAAAACAAATTTAAGATGTATTTAGCACATTTCAAGGGTGGATGATACGTTATTAATTGTAGTTGCCACATTTTCCATTAGATCTCTAGAACTTACTCAGAACTGTAAGTTTGTACTTTTGTACAAACATCCCATCTTCATGATCCGTCTTTCCCAGCCAACATTCTGTTAATCTAAGATCAACTATTTTAGATCACACATACAGTAAAGCCTTACTTGCTTTATTTAGTAAACTTGTCCCTCAAGTTCATAGTTCATTTGCATTTGTTGTAAATGGTAGGATTTCATTTTCCTTTTTGGGGGGGGTTCTTTTTGAGACAGGGTCTCCCTGTAGCCCCAGCTGACCTGGAACTCACTATGTAGACCAGGCTGGCCTTGAACTCACAGAGATCTGCCTGCCTCTGCCTCCCCAGTGCTGGGATTAAAGGCGTATGCCACCATGCCTGGTTCATTTTCTTTTTTAAAAAAAAAATTTTATGTGTGTATTGCCTGCATGTAAGTAAGTGCACCTGTGTCGTGCAATGCTCAAGGAGGACAGAAGAGGCTGTTGGATCCCCTGGAACTGGAGTTACGGACAGTTGTTAGCTGCCATGTGGGTGCTGGGATTCAAACCCGGGTCTTCAGCATGAACAGTCAGTGTTTTTAACCTCTGAGCCATCCCTCCATCCTTCATTTCTTTTTCAAAGTCTGGATACATTTTATATATATATATGTATGTATCACAATTTTGTATGTAAACATTTATATCTGTATACACATGAACATTCCTATAAGTGTGGAAGCATGTGCCACACATGTAGAAGTCAGAGGAAACCTTGGATAGTCCCCGTATTTTGCTACAGGGTGTCTTCTTCACTGCTACTACATATCTGGCCTGCAGACCTCCAGTTCTCACACTGGAATTACAAACATGCTAGGTGCACAGCTTTATATAGATTCTTAAGGATTCAAACTCAGGCCCTCACACTCACATAGCAAACCTCTGGTTCATTCCTGTAGAAGACACATCTGAATAAATGCATTGGTTCACCAAGCTAGACTCAGGTAGATGAGACTGTTCTTTCTGTCTCGTTATTAGTGTCCATTGTTTAGATTTTTTTTTTGGTGCTCGAGATGAACAGGGCAAGCATGACACCGAGTTATTCCTAGCCCAGCCATTGTTTATTTTTATAATCAAATTGTCCCTAATTTCGCAATGGGAGGCCTTCAATCTGGCTCATAACATCCCATTTTAAAGTATATATGTGTGTATACATATGTATGTATATGATTCACATAATGTAGTTCATTTATTTTGAACCTTGTAATACTGACTCATCTATTGATGGAAGCAAGTTATTTCTAAGTTGTAGTATGTTTTGCCTCTAATTTTTGTTGAATTTCAAATAAAAATTTGCACTATAAGAATTGCATTAATATCCTATATTTCAAATATGTTTACTGTGCAAATATTGAGCACCTAGAAGCCGCACCATTTTGTACCAACAGTCGGGCCTTTTGGGGGGCTTGGGGGTGGCGATAGTATCTGACTCTGTAGCCCTAGATGACCTGTAGGTCACTCTGTAGACAAGTCTGACTTGAACTTGCAAAGATCTTCCTGCTTCTGTCTCCTGTGTGCACAACTAAGAATCCACTTTTTAAAAAAAATTATTTGTATATGTGTGACTGTATGCTCACTGGGGGCGGTGAGGGGGCATGGAGGAGGACAGAGGTGGGACCCCTTGTAGCTGGAATTAGAAGCCACTGGGCGTCACCTGTAACTGAGCCAACAAGGTGCTGGAAACCGAGGTTGGGTCTTCTAGAGGCAGCAAGTGCTATTAACCATTGTGCCGTCTCTCCAGCCCCAGGAATCATGGTTTTCTTTGCTGGTTTTTTTTTTGTATGTGTAATCCCTGAATATATGTGTACCCACGTTGTGCAATGCCAAAGGAGGGCATGAGATCCCCTGGAACTGGAGTGACGGCAGGCTGTTAGCCCTCATGTGGGTGCTGGAAACCGAATCCAGGTCCTCTGCAAGAGCAGCCCTGTGCTCTTAACCTCTGAGTCACCTCTCCAGTGAGTCCAGCCCTTTGTGGGGCTTTTTTTTTTTTTGGTTTTTTTGAGACAGGATCTCGCTGTGCAGCCCTGGCTAGCCTGGAGCCCACTATGTAGACAAGTTTAGCCTGAAACTCTGCCTGCCTCTGCCTCCAGGGTGCTGGGAAAGAATAAGCTTTTAATACATGGTTTTGTTTGTTATTTTACGTGTGTATTGCCTGCGTGTAGGTAAGTGCACCCATGTCCTGCAATGCCTGCGGAGGACAGAAGAGGCTGTCGGATCCCCTAGGACTGGAGTTACGGCAGTTGTTAACTGCCATGTGGGTGCTGGGATTCGAACCCAGGTCTTCTGCAAGAACAACCAGTGTTCTTAAGCCATCTCTGAGCCATGGTTCTCTGAGCCATCTCTCCAACCCCAATACATGTGTTTTTGAGAAAATATCTCAATTACTTGTTTTTAAAGGGAAGAGGACTTGTTACATGGTTGAAACTGGCCCTCCAACTCCTTGACAGGTGATTATTCCCCGTCAACCAGGAAAGAGCCAGGGAGGGGCGAGAGCTAAAATGTGTATTCAAATGCGCTAATAAGGGCTTTTCTCTTTAAATAAAGTTCCCATTCATTTTTATCATTCTATTTTTGCATGAATATTGAAATAGAGTTGAGAACGCAAAATCGAAAGGTGGGAAACTGCCCTTTCACTTAAGGTGAAGAGCAGCGGCAGGATGCAGCCCCAGAGCACAAGCGCAGAAGCTGCTTCCCACCTCGCTTCAACAAGCTCTCGCGAGAGTTAGCTGGTTGCTATAGTTACGAGAAATATACTTGCGACTGCTTCAGGGAAGATAGTTACTCTTCTTCAGGTGGGTAAAACAGTTATTCCTCCAGAAGGCCTTTTCCCATCGGCTTACGCAGCCTTCTCCTTCCGCTAGAGACAAGCTGAGATTTCGCTGCAGCCTGTGTAGACGCGGACGCTCCCGCCTATCCCAGCCCTCCAGCTGTGCTCAAGATCCGGCCTCGGTCCACCCTGCCCACCTGTTCCTGGCCTGACCCAGTCCACATCACTTACTCCCTCGAGCCTGTTTCTTTTTTCTTTCTCTTTCTCTTTCTCTTTCTCTTTCCCTTTCCCTTTCCCTTTCCCTTTCCCTTTCCTTTCCTTTCCTTTCCTTTCTTCTTTCCTTCCTTTTTGTCTTTTGAGACAGGGTCTCTCTGTACCCTCAGCTGACGTGGAACTCATTATGTAGACCGCCTGCCTCTGCCTTCCAGGCACGCACCATTATGCCCGGCTCTAGCCAGTTTCTAACCTGACTTCTACTTAGCAGCCTTTTCTGAGCAGGGACAAGTGCCTTGAGGGTAAGAGCCCCCCCCCCCCCCGCACTCAGCCTACCTAATGGTAGGACCAGAACTTGCCATTGATGGGACTTCTTGCATTATTCTCATATGCTGCTAAAATGTCTTCCTATGAGTCCTGATGCCAGGAACTCGGGCCATAAGTAGGAATAAGGCAGGTTGTCTCCACGGATAAAACTGAAGAAAAAGCAATGCATGTCAATAATGACCATGTGTGTAGTGCTTTGTAGCTTAAGTAGTTTTTACCATCTTAGGGGATATTCGCAGCAAATAGGAAACAAGTTATGTTACTTATTCTCACAGGGGTAACTGGAGCCCAGGGCCACAATTTCACAATAGGAAACGTCTTGAGTCCCCAGACATGGAATTGTGCTTCTAGGTTGGTGGTGAAGTGCTTGCTTAGCACGCCTAAGGCCCTGTGTTCTGTCCCTAGCATCGCAAACTAAGCGCAGTCCCCAGTCCTCATAAACAAGCCTGCTTGTAAATGCCACGAAGATGAATGTTCCAAGTGAGAATCTTCATGGACTAGGAAACATTTGATGTGGATGAATAGTATTTGCCCATGTAAAGAGGGATAAAAGAGGGGCTGGAGAGATGGCTCAGTGATTAAGAACTCTGATTGTGGGCTGGAGAGATGGCTTAGCGGTTAAGAACACTGGTTGTTCTCACAGAAGACCCGGGTTCGAATCCCAGCATCCACGTGGCACCTGACGGTCTGTAACTCCAGTCCCAGAGGATCCGACAGCCTCTTCTGTCCTCTGAGGGCATTGCACGACACGGGTGCACTTACATACATGCAGGCAATACACACATACACATAAGATAAAAATAAGAATAATAAAAAGAGCACTGACTGCTCTTGCAGAGGACTCGGGGTTCGAGTCCCAGCACCCACATAACAGCTATGAACCGTCCTCAACTCCTGTTCCTGGGGAATCCGACCTCTGCAACATTGCACCACATAGGTGCACTCACATACATACAGGCAATACACTCATACACTTAAAACAAAAATAATAAAAAATATTTTTTAAAAAGATGGATTGTTGCCAGATGTGGTGGCGCACGCCTTTAATCCCAGCACTTGGGAGGCAGAGGCAGGCGGATCTTGGTGAGTTTGAGGTCAGCCTGTCTCCATAGTGAGTTCAAGGCCAGCTGGGTCTACAGGGAGACTCTGACTCAGAGACCAAAAAAATTTAAAAAAGATAATGCCTGAAACTCAGTTTCCTTTTCTCTAAAATAGAGATTTAAGAGTCACCTAGAAGGGTAGAAGCATATAACCTATGCAAAGCCCTTATTAAGTGTATACCAAGTTATAAAGTTAGTTTCCTCCGCATTCCTCATTCGTCTCTCAAAGTACCCATCACACCGGTTACAGCTCCTGGTCTGTGTACACATCTCTATTCTTCACCAGACTTTAAATTCCTTGGGGTAGGTAAATCATATTTTCTCTCTTGTATTGTCAGCATCAGTCTCTGTGCCTCACTTAGTAGTTTGCTCAGTGAATGATTTTGACAGAAATGGGATAAATTAGAATAAAAAGAAATGTCAGATTCAAGGACCTTTGTTAGTCTGGGTCAGGGAAGGGAAATCAATTCATGTGGTACTATTTTACCTATTTTGGGGGAAAGAAAGAGACTGACACAAAAGGGCATTTCAAATATGCATTTAATAAGGAAATTGTTGAGGCTGGAGAGATGGCTCAGTGGTTAAGAGCACTGACTACTCCTACAGAGGACCGGGATTTGATTCCCAGCACCCACATGACAGCTAACAACTGGCCCTGGCAATAACTCCAGTTTCAGGGGATCTGATGCCTTCTTCTGACCTCTGTGGGCATCACATGACACGGGTGGACTTACAAGCATCCAGGCAGTACACTCATACACATAAATTAAAAATGATATATAAAATATAAGGAAATTGTCAGTGCTGCTGAACCCTGAAAGAGCCCGGAGGCCTGAAGTTACAGTGGAGATCTGATGCTTTCAGGCACCTGGAAAATTGAGGGAGTAGTTGGGAAAAGACAGAATAGCTACGAAACCAGAGTCTGTAAGTGGCGGGCTTTAGTTCCCGATAACACAGTATGCCTTCATCAGTGCTTGAATTGCAGGGGTAGGTTCCACTTTGAATTTAAAAAATTTTTAGTGAACGTACAAAATATTGGATTTCTTTATAGCATGTTTGTACATATTAACACTGTCCTTTGCCCCCATTCATTACTTTCCTTTCCCAACCCCAAAGAGTCCCCTGTCTTTTTTGTGTCATTTGTACATGTGTGTTTAAATTTAGGTTCTACATATGAAGGAAAACGTGATGTTTGTCTTCCTCCCTTCTCATCATCCTTCTGTGTTCTTCCTCTCATTCACCCCGTCCTCCCTTGGAGTAGCCTCCCTTCTACTTTCCTGCCATATATATTCTATGTGTTTAAATACAGATACCTAATATGAAAGAAAACACATTTTCTGAGTCTAGCTCATTTTGCTTACCATGATGATATGCAGTTTCATCCATTTCCCTATAAATAACATAATTTCATTCTTTATTCTTTATAGTGGGACAAAACTCCATTGTATGTATACCATATTTTCTTTATCTGTTCATCTGTTGAGCATCTAGACTGGTACTCTATCTTGGCTGTTGTGAATAGTAAATAAACATGCAAAATAAACATGATATGCAAGTACCTACGTGGTATGATTCTTTTGAGTATATACCCAGGAGTAATATAGATAGATGATATGGTGGTTCTGTTTTTAGCTTTTTGAGAAACCTCCATACCCATTTCCATGGTGGTTGCACTACTTTACTTTCCCACCAGGGTTTATTTTTCTATATATTCTACTTTGAACTAAATTGGAAAACCTGACCTCAAAAACAAAATGAAACAAAACAGATGGCTGGGAGCGTGATTGGCAGACTGCTTGTGTAGGATCTAGGAAGCCCTGGATTTGATCCCTAGCATCTCCAATAATCCCAGAAGATGGAGGCAGAAGGCTCAAGAGTTAAGGTCATTCCCAGCCATATGTCAAGTTTGAGGCTGTCTTAAGTTTCATTTCTGTTGCTGTGGTAAAATACTCTGATAGAAGCAATTTAAGGGAGAAAGGGTTTATCTTAGCTCACAGTTTGAGGTTACGGTCCACCATGGGGTGGAGGTCAAGGCATCAGAAGCTTGATGTAGCTGGTCACATTACAAAGAGAATAGTGAATGCCTGCCTGCCAGTGCTCAGTCTGTTTTCTCTACTCTTATGCAGTCCTGGATCCCTGCCCAAGGGATCCTACTTCAACATAATCAAGATAATCACCCACAGGCAAACTCAGAGGCACCTCTCCTAGATGATCCTAGATTTTGTCAGGTTCACAATACTAACCATCACAAGGTTAACCTAGGCTACATGAGCTCCTGTCTTAAAGTGAAAAAAACAGAGAAATCAGCTACACATTTTTTTTTTTTTTGGTGTGCATGTATGTGAGACAGGGTCTGGCTATGTAGCCCTAGGCAGCCTTGAACTTATAATCTTTGACCTTCAGCCTCCCAAGTGCTGGGGTTACAGAGGTGTGTGCCATCACACCCAGGCAACTATTTTTGAAATTGTTTATAAAATTTTTAGAAAATGCCAGGTTTGGTGGCACACGCCTTTAATCCCAGCCCTCGGGAGGCAGAGGCAGGAGGATCTCTGTGAGTTTGAGGCCAGCCTGGTCTACAAGGCAAGTTCCAGGCCAGCTGGGGCTATAGGAAGACCCTGTCTCAATAAGACCAAAAAAAATTTTTTTTTTAGAAAATATAGACAGGGTCATATGTCTTTCTTGCTCTCAAAATACATTTTTGTGGCTGGGTGTGGTGGTTACAGGGAGACCCTATCTCAAAAAGACCAAATTGTATTTTTGTATGCCAGGTGTGTTGGTGCACACCTTTGGTCCCAGTCCTTGGAGGCAGAGGCAGGCAGATCTCTGTGAGATTGAGGCCAGCCTGGTCCACATAGTGAGTTGGACCTGGGACTAGGGAGACCTTGTCCCCCCGCCTGCCCCCCCCCAAAATATATATATATGTGTAAAGCTGAGAAGTAACCTTTGATGGGAACTTTGCAGTGTGAAAAGAAAGTTACCAAAACACTGAAGGAAGCAAGCGTCCCAAAACACTGAAGGAAGCAAGCATCAAACGTGGAGAAATGGCCTTCCTGGCCTGTCTTGTGTTCATTTGCATTTCTTTACATGGTTAGGAATCTTTAGCATCAGTCAGTGGAGCCACGCTTGTGTCAGCTCCTGAAATCACCACCTGTCCAGAAGCAGAGATGGCACAGGGGGAATACGAAGGGCTGGACCACGATGTGTCTGCAGATTCCACTGGCATGGGTTATGATGTGTGTACTACCGTGTGAGGAGACAGCTTCATTTACTATCCTTGCAGAAACCAAAGAAGACTACAGGGACTTGGCTCAGCTGCTGACATGGAGCAGGTGCCATCAACAGGCAAATTGGTGAACATCACTGTGGCAAACGGATATGATTTGGTAAAGTGATTTTTGAAAAATCATGAAGTCCCTATTTGGGAGCATCAGGGGAGGACTGGAGTTTTCCATCATTTTCTCCTCTGTCTTTCTTATTGATAGTTTATACTCAGCAAGGCATAGTGTTGTGTGTCCAGAAAACCCACATGGTGGCTAACAACTGCCCTTGACTCCAGTTCCAGGGGATCCGATGCCCTCTTCTGACCTCCTGGACATTGCATGACATGGGTGCACTTAGATACATGCAGGCAATACATTCATACACGTAATATTTTTTAAAAGTTAAAGATGTTTGACAGGATATATTATATATATATATATATATGTTTTTTTTTGTTTTTGGTCTTTTTGAGACAGGGTCTCCCTGTAGCCCCAGCTGTCCTGGAACTCACTATGTAGACCAGGTTGGCCTTGAACTCACAGAGATCCGCCTGCCTCTGCCTCCCCAGTGCTGGGATTACCATGCCCGGTGACAGTATATTTTTATACTCAGAGAAATGCTATTTTTAACATAAAGGGCACATAGCTACAACTACATGATTTTCAGCTTGCCCCATTTGTGTATGTGATGTAGCTCGTTAGGGAAAATCAGAAAATGCTGTTTATTCTTGAGTCAGACTGAATTGACAGATATGTAGGAAAATTATGTATTTGAAATTGTAAAGTGATGCTTCTGCCCACAGAAAGGCTTTAAAGGAGATACACCAGTTACTTTTGTTCGTGCAGAATTCAATCATGCAGTTCTGGGAGACTCTTCAAAAGTTACTGTTTCTTCAGAAGGATCTGCAAAGTACAACTTCACTAGCAGTTTTGAACTCAGTCCTGAAGGAGGCATCACTTTAGACGGCCTCGCCCACAAGCCTTTATTCTGTAAGTCTTACAGTTGTGAAGACACTAATAACTCACATGGTGTGTTAGGAGATTCTGGGGCTCTTCGCTACTGCTGTTGGAGAACTGTGTACTCCTGACCTCCCTCTTGTAGGAATGATACTGCGGATTGCTTTGTCTGCTTCTGGCTTCAGTAACCATGCCATACCAGTTTTACTCAGCTTTAATTATGCGACTGAAATCGCAGCCTTTATCTTCTAGAAGGCTCCTTTGTATTCCAGTATTTAAGGTTACCAGATTTTAGAGGGAAAATGGCAAGCAAAGAAGCAAAAATGTAAACTTTAATACATTTAAAAATTAGTCATTGCTTATTTGAAGTTCAAATTCTATTGGTCATCCTGTATATCTGTGCTTGTGCATGTTGGCTGTACTGCATAGCCATTATTCCTTTACCTCTTCTGATAGTGGAGGACTGAATGGTGTTTATTCCAGAATTTTTACTTCTTAGAAACATCTGTAATATAACAGTTGCTCAAAAAGTATATGCTGAGGGGCTGGAAAGATGGCTCAGTGGTTAAGGGCACTGACTGCCCTTGCAGAGGACCTGGGTTCAATTCCCAGCACCCACATGGTAGGTACAAACTGTCCTTAACTCCAGTTCCAAGAGAATCTGAAGCCCTCTTTTGACCTCCACAGCATTGCAGTACGCAGATGTTTTCGGGGTCTGAGGAATTCCCCAAATTGACCACTCGGATACTGAGTCTCAGTAAACAGAAGCGCTTTTTTGAGGCCAACCTGCTGGGGACACAGTCTTGGGAGCTGTACTGTGACCCCGAGCAGTGAAAATGAAGGGATTTTAAGCAGAAGACCCACAAAAACCACAAAGCAGGGGATATCCGTAAAAACTATACACAGAATAACCAGGAAAGGATTGGAACAATCTAGGGCTGATTTCCAGAGACTTTACCTATACAGCCATTGGCTGTCTTACCTGGGGCAGAACGTTCTTTCTCTTCTGCCCCAGATTATTCCCATAGAGACCATACACTGATGTATCAAGTATACGGTCATTGGCTAGCTTACCTGGGTCAGAACATTCTATCTCTTCTGTCCCAGACCATTTCCGTAGAAATCATAAATAGATACCAGGAAAGGGTTTAAACAATGAAGGGGATTTCCAGAATCAGGTGGAGGGCAGCTTTTTCTCAGAGGATAGGGAGAGGGTATGAGGGGTACTCTCTTTCAGTTGCACTCACATACATGCAGACAATACACTCATACATATAAAATAAAAATAATAAAATATTTTTTTAAAAATTTAAAAAAGTAGCCGGGTGTGGTGGCACACGCCTTTAATCCCAGCACTAGGGAGGCAGAGGCAGGTGGATCTCTGTGAGTTCAAGGCCAGCCTGGTCTACATATTGAATTCCAGGATAGCTGGGGCTACAGGAAGACCCTGTCTCAAAAAAAAGACCAAAAAATATTTTTTTTAAGTATTAAGTAATTTAAAAAAGTATTAAGTGCCGGGAGTGGTGACACATGCCTTTAATCCTAGCACTCGGGAGGCAGAGGTAGGCGGATCTCTGTGAGTTCAAGCCAGCCTGGTCTACATAGCGAGTTCCAAGACAGCTGGGGCTACAGGGAGACCCTGTCTCAAAAAGACCAAAAAAAAAAGTATTAAGTAATTTAAAAAAGAATTAAGTAGATAGATGTTTTCTCTGTCCACGCCTTTATGATTTCCATGTACACATTATTACTGCATCACTATGTGATGCCATATTATGGCTCTGTCTGAATAAAAACAGTCTGATTCTCAACATCCATTTTAGCCAAGAGAGGACCCGAACTGCTTGTGAGCCTGTTCCTTCAGAATTCTCTTCAAAATGTGCTCTCAAGCTAGGGCTTTGCTCTTATATTCAAATAGTATGTTCAGCAGGAAATGGGGAAGGAGGAACTGTTTTATCTGAGGATTATGTCCCTTCTGACCCCAATTGACCTAGAAGAACATGCAGACAACCATAAACAGATGTTATCAATTTAATTCCATCTATTGTTTGCAACATAGATGGGATAATCTGTTGCTTTCAACAAGCCTCCACTGCTTGCAGCACTTGATATGCAAAGCGCACACATGTACACATCCCACTCACATGTAGTTCTGGGTCAAGGGCAAGGAAGAGCCATGAAGGCTTTATTTTTAGGCTACAAGGCTCACTAAGCTTCTCTACATTATAAACAAGCTAAGATAAGATGAACTTTTTGGATGCAAGGTCAGGTAAAAGCCATTTGTCAAGAGCACGTCCAAATTGTAAGAGCCATTCCCACACATTGTTTTACAGTGTCTCTGGTATAATTTGTTGCACCTGTGTGCTAGCTTTTTAATTTGGTTTTGTTTTCATCTGTTCTGTGTGTGCATGTGTGTGTCCTTGCATGTGGAAGCCAGAGATCAACATCAGGTGTCTTCCTCTAAAACTCTCCACCTTTGTTTTTGTTTGAGGAGGGGGTTGCTCTTGGTTTTTGTGAAAGGATGTCCTTATAGCCCCAGCTGGCCTGGAACTCATTATATAGACCAGGCTGACCTTCATCGCATAGAGATTCACCTGCCTCTGCCTCCTGAGTACTGAGATTAAAGGTGTTTGCCCTAGTTTTTGAGATAAGGTCTCTTGCTGAACCTGGAACTCATCTGATTGGCTATGCTGGCAGGCCAATGAACTCCAGGGAACTGCCTGTCTCCAGACTCCCCCTCTCCACCTCTACTACCAGAACTGGGGTTACAAATGCTTGACATGGGCTCCCAGCCTTTACTGGGTGCTGAGGATCCAAACTCAGGTTCTCATGCATGCACAGCAGGCACTTTATTGATTGAATCATCCCCCCATCCCCATATGTTTTAATATATAGTCTTTGTATTAGGATTCTCTAGAGGAACAGAAATGATCTAATAAATATAGATGTAAACTGATTTGTTGGCTTGGTTTACATGATACAGTTGGATTAATCTATAAATGGCTGTCTCACAATGGAGAAGCCAAGGAACCTAGTATTTGTTCAGTCCTTGAGGCTAGATGCCTAAGCAGTCCCAGTCTAGCACTGAAGGCCTGGAGGATTGTTGGAGAGCCTTTGGTCTTTAGTTGACATTGGAAGCCCAAAGAAGCTGGTTCTAATACCAGCGAAGGAATCAGCATCAATAGCAGAAGGGTAGATAAACTTGTCAGAGAGAGAGAGAAAGAGAAGGCAAGCAGGCAAAGGCAAAGCTTCCTTCTGTGGCTTTTATTGTATCTGGGCTGCCGCCAGAAAGCACTGCCCATATTTAGGGTGAGTCTTCCCATTTAAGTAATTTTGATCAAGAAAATCCCTCACAGGAATGCCCAACAACTTGCCTTTTAGTTGATTCCAGATCCCCATCACACTGACAAGAGCAGCCACCACAGTATTTTATTTATTTATTTTTTATTTATTTATTTGTTTGTTTGTTTGTTTATTTATTTAATTTATTGTTCAGTTTTGTAATGACACATTTCAGGGGTGTTTACTAAAATCCACAGACTCCAAGATTGCAAACTCAGAGATGCAGGACTTGGAAATGTATACAATTCTACAGTATTCTAAGTCTGTATCTTTAAGAATCATTTGGGTCTCTGAGACCCAGTCTTCAGCGTCTCTCCACAGACTTCCAAACTCACAGTCCACAGGGGAGATGTTGAAGAAGTTTCACCTCGAACTAAGCTTCTCAGGTGGCTCTTATGAAACAAGTTCTCAAATCAGCTGTTCTGACCAGTGGCCTAAGTGGAAATCAGTTACCCGGGGAGGGATCCATCCGAACCACACTCCGACTACTCCCTTCTTCCCTTCTACTCTTTGCTCTGTGCTTGTCTGAAACCCAAAATAAGATAAATAAGATAGATACCTTGATTTGATCACCTTGATTTGATCACCTTTTTTTCTAAACATTATTGAGTGGAAAAAGCAAAACTGAAGGTGCTTTTTTAAAAAAAAAAATTATGTGTATGCATGTAATGCCTGTAGAGGACAGAAGAGGCTGTCAGATCCCCTGGAAGTGGAGTTATGGACAGTTGTTAGCTGCCATGTGGGTGCTGGGAGTTGAACCTGGGACTTCTGCAAGAAGAGTGTTCTTAGCCGCTGAGCCATCTCTCCAGCCCCCTGGAGGTGCTTTTTTAAGTGTGAGACAGAAGCAATCTCTTTGTTTCAGAAGCAAAGCAAGAACTGAATCTGGATATTCTGAATGGTGACAGGTGTATCTGTGGTAACAGTGGTGCAGGGGGAGAAAGCAGGACCCCCAACCCAGAGGAACCTGGTTCTAATGTTCTCACAAGAGCAAAGACCTTGGGCTGCTGTGGATGGGGAGTTGAGACTGAGGCCATGTTGTCCTCAACATAAACTATGACTCTGAAAATTCATGGTCTAGGAGAAAACTAATCTCACTAACATCTCTCCTTAGAAAGGAGAAAATAAGCCAGGTATGGTGGCACAGGCCTTTGATTCTAGCACCGGGGAGGCAGAGACAGGTGGATCTCTGAGTTAAAAAAAATTTTTTTTTGTCTTTTTTGAGACAGGGTCTCCCTGTAGCCCCAGCTGTCCTGGAATGCACTATGTAGACCAGGCTGGCCTCAAACTCAAAAAGATCCACCTGCCTCTGCCTCCCATGTGCTGGGATTAAAGGCATGTGCCACCACTACTGGCCTAAAACATTTTTTTTTAATGAACAATTACAAACATGCTGGAAACAATGGAAAAAAATAGAAGGAAGTCTTAGGAAAGAAACAGAAAACATAAAGGAGAACCAAACAAATGCTAGAACTGAAAAATAAAATACATGGGGCTGGAAAGATGGCTCAGCGGTTAAGAGCACTGACTGCTCTTGCAGAGGACCTGGGTTTGGTTCCCAGCACCCACATGGCAGCTAACAACCATTTGTTGCTCCAGTTCCAGGGAATTCATGCCCTCTTCTGACCTGCGTGGGCATTGCATGACACGGGTGCATTTACACATGTGCAAGCAATACACTCATACACATAATAAATAAAAAATAATAAATTTTAAATAAATAGAAAAAATGTGAAGAGCTGGGTGAATGACTCAGCAGTGGAATGGAGAAAGCAGGAGAAAAAGTAGCAAACTGGAAGATAGAGCAACAGAGATTACCGAGGTAGACTAGAGAGAAAGTAGACTAAAACATTAAGAGATATAAGGACTTGTAGAACTATAGCAATATATGTAAATTAGTGTCATGATAGTCTCAGAAAGAGAGGATAAAGAGGGTGGAAAAAAGATTCAAACAAAATAATGCCTGGAAATTTTTAGAAACACAAGCCTAAAGTTTCGGGAAGCCGAGTGAACCTAACAGAATAGAAATATGACAAACTGGATAGGGAAGTGACTTAGTTGGTAGAGTGCTTGCCTAGTGTACAGAAAGCCCTGGTGGTACACATCATTAATCCCAGCACCCAGGAGGTGGAGGCAGGAGGATCAGAGGTTCAAGGTCATCCTTGGCTACATAGTGAGTTTGAGGCCAACGTGGGATATATAAGCCCCTGTCTAAAAAAAATTAATTCCTAAAGAATGTTTGAGTAACACAGTATCTCACCTTTTAGTCCATGGTGGTCTTGAATTTCCTCACTAGCCCAGGCTGGCCTTGAACTGGCAATCTTCTGCTTCTACTTCCTGAGTGCTGAGATTACAATGTGTTCTATCATACTTAGCAGTCATTTTTTAATGACAAGTACAGTATGAAACACATAAGTTCTTTGAGTTAATAGGTATTTCATATTACATGAACCTTTGTACCAGATAATCATGTATATCAGTTACTTTTTTTTTTTCTTTTTTGGTCTTTTTGAGACAGGGTCTCCCTGTAGCCGCAGCTGTCCTGGAACTCACTATGTAGACCAGGCTGGCCTTGAACTCACAGAGATCTGCCTGCCTTTGCCAAGTGCTGGGATTAAAGGCGTGTGCCACCATGCCCGGCTACATCAGTTACTTTTACATATATGAATGTACATGATTATTATGTAAAATCCATTTCTTGGGGCTAGAGAGATGGCTCAGCAGTTAAGAGCACTTACTGCTCTTCTAGGAGACCTGGGTTTGGTTCCAGGCACCCACATGGTGGCTAACACCCACCTGTAACTCCTGTTCCCAGGGATCTGCTGTCCTCTCTGGACATTCAGCCACATACGTACATGCAGAGCACTTATGTACAGGCAGAACACTCATCACACTATAAATAATTAAAAATTTAAAAAATCTGTTTCTTAGAATTTATGTCACTGAGCTAGTTCAGTATTTTTCATCGGAAGTCACAGATGTTGGTGCTTTCTTGGGTTTCAGATTGGTGGTTGTTGCTGGGTGTGATGGCTCATGCCTTTAATCCCAGCACTTAGGAGGCAGAGGAGGGCAGATCTCTGTGAGATTGAGGCCAGCCTGGTCTCCTTAGTGAATTTCAGGCCGGCTGTGGCTACAGGGAGACCCTGTCTCAAAATGAACAACCAAACAAACAAACTGAAATACAGAAAACAAACAAAAGTAAATCCGTGGTTGTTGTGAACAGTACTGAGGATTGAATCTGAAGCCTTATGCAAGCAAGCACTCTACTGTTGAGCTGTACCCTAAGCCAAAGTTCGTTTTCTTTCTTTCTTTTCAGAGCTGAGGACCGAACTCAGAGCCTTGCGCTTGCTAGGCAAGTGCTGTACCACTGAGCTAAATCCCCAACCCCCCTTTTAAAAAATATTTTATTCTTATTTTTATTTTATGTGTGTGAGTGTATTGCCTGCATGTATGTGCACGCACCCGTGTCCTGCAGTGCCTCAGAGGTCAGAAGAGAGCTTCGGATTCCCCTGGAACTGGAGTCAAGGACAGTTTGTAGCCACCATGTGGGTGCTGGGAATCGAACCCGGATCCTCTGAAAGAGCAGTCAGTGCTCTTAACCACTGAGCAATCTCTCCAGCCCCCAAAGTTCATTTTCTTAAATCTCTTTGAAGAGGCTTTGCTTGCTGAACCTCTGTGGAGTTGTTGGACGCATTCTCATTTTACTTGCTTTGACTTTTCTAGTGACTGTGACTGAAGTTTTACCAAAGGAAAAGAAACAGAAGGAAGAGAAGACCTTAACTCTTGGTCAAGCAGTGCTGGACCTTCTCCCTTTGCTAGAAGGTCAGATATATGATTTACTCAAAGGCAGAAATAGCAAAACTCATAATTCTATATGTAGCAATGTGCAAAACTCAGCCTCTGTAGATTCAAAGATTTTAGGGGAAAATGAGAACATGTATCTGTGCCTGCAGTAGCTCTGACTTAACCCTTCTTCTTTGGCTCAACTTGACCTTCTTCTTACAGGAGCGAGCTCATTTGAGACGACAGTCCCATTGCACCCTGTGCGGGGCTCACCGTTAGAAACTCCTCTGGGCTCAAAGGTAATCAGAGTGATAACTCAGTATTCACAGCCTGCCACTCAATCCAGCAAGTCTGTCTGCTGTTAAGGTCCAGTTCATCTGGGTCCAATGCATTTGGCTCTTTCTTTTCACAGTATATATGGTGCTAGGTTCTGGTAAACAGAGATGAGTGAGGCTAAACCCTGCCTCATGGATTATAACCCAGTGTGATGAACTGTGAGGCACAGAGCAGGGATTTGTTACTTTGCCCAGAGGTGTATAGGGAAGACAACCGTGGAAATGCTTCCTGTGCTGATGGATTAAATGGTAGAAGAAAGTACTCTACCCACTTGGGTGTGGTAACCTGCCTCTGGTTGAACTTGTAATTCAACCTTTCAAGCCTAGACCCATTCTGAATTCCAGAATGTAAGACTTTGCAACATACTGGCTTTCTGGGCAATAATACCCTATCAGTACCTAAGACACAACATTCCAAAACTGAACTCAGCATCTTCCTAAAACTTACTCCTCTTGTCTTAGTCATTTTGGCTGATTGCATCACTCATCCAGGAAATCCTGGGATGTAGGACCTAGGTTACATCCCTGACTTCTCCCCTGGATCCTAACTACAACCATCTCCAAATTCCCTTTTCCAAATCTACTCCGTTCTTTTCTTTTTTTCTTTTAGGGCTTTTTGAGACAGGGTCTCCCTGCAGCCCCAGCTGGCCTGGACCTCACTCTGTAGACCAGGCTGGCCTTTAACTCACAGAGATCCACCTGCCTCTGCCTTCTAAGTACTGGGATTAAAGGAGTGTGCCACAATGCCTGGTCCAAATCTATTCCTTTCTATCCCCTAAATGTCTTTAGACTCTTTCTTCCTAACTCTATTTCTACTCTGTATGTATTGCCTTATCACTCACTTAGATGGTTATAAGTAATCTTGTATGTGACCTTCCTTCTTCCCTCCAGTTCCACCTTCCCATTTCTTACCTAGTAGCTTAAAAGTGAAGCTGATCACATTTCCTCCCTTGCTTAGTATGGTGTGGGCACATAGATGCATCCACTGTATACATGTCAAGGTCCATATTTCTTAGCAAGCATACCACATCCCAGAGAATGGGAGCCTCCAGCTTCATCAACCTCACCTTCCACCTCTGCTGTCCTTATATTTTATGTTCTAGAATCTGAAATTACTTATTCTTGGGCTGAAGACAGCACACTGCTTCAATCCTGTTTACATAAACTGGTCTTTTGATCTAGAATTATTTTTCTTTGATGATTCAAGTCACAAAACCGTTTCATTGTGTAAAAATCAGGTTAGAGATCATTGTTGTCTATTCTTCTCCAGCCCAACAATTATTATTCACTTCCTCTTTGGTAGTCCTCAATTAGACTATGTTATACAGGTCTTTGTTACACATTTGCCATAACTCAAAACTGTAATACAAGTTTCATAATGAAAGGGAACATGTCCTTTATGAGCATATAATTAGCAATCAATACAAATTTAAGGGGCCAGTGAGATAGCTCAGTGGGTAAAATGCCTTTGGCTGCCAAGACTTATGACCCGAGTTCAATCCTAGAGACCCGCATGGTGGAAGGAAGGAACAAACTCCCACAAGTTGTCCTCTGACCACCACATGCATTCCATGGTATGCATATATATATAAATTAATTAAAAAATTTTAAATATACATTTAAGTCTGATTTTTATTATATTATGTGTAAAAATGTCAGATACATATGTATATTCCTATATCTATACTTGAAAAATATCTTATTACAAAGCACTGCAATGAAATGGTAAAAATAATCATAAAGGTTAGGGGCCTGGCTTAGTGGGTAAAGTACTTGCTGTGTAAGCATGAGAACCTAGGTTAGAATCCCCAGAATCTGTGTAAAGCCATGCATGGTAGCATGTGTCTGTAATTCCAGTGCTCCTATGTTGAGTTGGGAGGTGGCAACTCCCCAGAAGGTCAAGGGTCAGCTAGCCTGGGGTACACAGTACAGCAGCAAACAAAAAAAGAAATCCTGCCAAGCACAGTGGAAGGTGAAGTCTCATACCCAAGGTTGTCTTCTGACCTCCAAATGCTCACTGTGTTGTACACACATGACCTCCCCCCATCACACACACACGCACACATGCACACACGCACACTCAAACACACAGAATCACAAAATATAGGCTAGCAAAAGAAGCACCCAATCAATGAGCACCTGCTATTTCTACTCAGTGTAGAATCATCTAGTTCCTCTTACATTTATATTGTGTATGCATTGTACCTCACTGTGGTAAAGGGACAAAGACTCCACCATACAATTCTTCTTTTGGCTCGATGTGGTGGTGCATGTCTTTAATCCCAGCACTCAGGAGGCAGAGGCAGGGGTGTCTCTGAGTTCAAGGCCAGCCTGATTTACATAGCAAGTTCCAGGCCAAGGAGACCCTGTCTCAAAAAGAGTAAAAACAAAGCAAAAAAATTCTTCTTTTGACTCTTCTATGCATGGTAGAAGAGAGAGAAAATTAGTTCTATCCTCTGGAAATAATTAAGCTTAATCTTGAACAGTGATAGGAGAGAATGTCAATAAGCAAATAGGGGATGTATTACAATTTTCAAAATGCTGCATAATTTTATTCCTTTACAGCAATGCAGTCTTGATGTTAAGGTATTTGTGGCAGAGCCCTTACTGACCCCAGCCCAGGTCTTAGGGAGCAATCTCCTGAAGGTCACACTGGAAGCT